GTCCAAAACTATTTATTCTTTATGTCAATGATTTATGTCAAGTGTCTTCTATGTTGAAACCGATTTTGTTTGCTGATGATACAAATTTGTTTTGCTCTAACCCAGACCTGCAAGAATTAATCAAAGATGTAACTAGATAATTAAATACATTTAAATTATGGTTAAATATAAACAAATTGTCTCTTAATATAGACAAAACTAAAATAATGTATTTTGGTAATGGTATGAATAATATTAAAGTGGATATTTTACTGGATGGTGTTCAAATTAAACAAGTGAATGAAATTAGATTTTTAGGAGTAACATTGGATAGTCATATTAATTGGAAACCACATATAAAACAAGTACAGAATAAAGTTTCAAAAAGTATTGCAGTGCTTTATAGAGCAAGACAAAATTTGGATCAAAAAACACTTCTAATGCTTTACTATTCTTTAGTTTTACCTTATCTGTCATATGGTGCTGAAGTATGGGGAAATAATTACACAACCAACTTGCAACCCTTAGTAATTCTTCAAAAGAAAGTTATACGCTATATACATAAAGTGGGTTACCGTGATCATACCACGCCATTGTTTCTTAAATCTAAATGCCTAAAATTGCTGGACTTAGTAGAGTATCAGACTTTACAATTGGTATTCAAAGCAAACAAAAAATTTTTACCTGGAAATATTCAGAAACTGTTTATTAAAAGGGAAGAGTCCTATAATCTGAGACACAAAAGTAATTTTAGATTCATAAATGTGAGGACGACCAGAAAAAGATTCTGTGCATCAGTATGTGGAATAAGATTATGGAATAGATTGTCTGTGGAATTAAAAAATAGTGATAACATAAAGGTATTTAAAAATGGCTTAAAAAATACATTCTTCAAGTGTTATGAGAAACAAAAACCTTAGGAAGGAATTGAAACTATATGTTTCTATAATGTGTGTGTAGGTATGCGTATATGTGTATATAAAAGTGTATGTGTATGTATAAAAGTGTATGTGTATGTATGTATGCATATGTATTTGTGTATATGTACGTATGTGTGTGCATGTATGTGTATGTCTGAATATACATATATGTGTGTAAGTGTATGTATATATATTACTTGTATATTCTGTAAAAGCAAAAGGAATGTGGAACACATAACTAAAGTAAAACACTTTTTTGGATAAGGGGTGGGACTAAATAAGTTTTTTACTTTCACCCACTCCTTTTCAAACAATTCCTCCGGAATTCATGTGAACTTAAACATTTTGTCTGTATATGCATGTTTGAAACAAACAAATAAATACAAATACAAATACAAATACATAATAATAGAAAACATATATAAGTAATCAGTCGTTAAATGAATAAGGTTTATCTAAAATAATAGACTGTTCCAGATTATAGTTTGGAGCAGACGCCACAGAGCGATGAGACATTCTGTCATTAAGCAGTGCTCATTATGTTGTTTTACTTCTCACGTGAGAGAAAATACCTTTGACACAGATTCAGAGGAAAGTTCATCTTATAAATCCCTCTGAACACGGAGAAAGATAAAGTGAACAAAGTTGTTGAAGAAAGTTGTTTTTCCAATGGAGCGAGACTATAATGACTCAATATAAAAATAAAATCTGGCTTGTAATGGTATTGGGCTCAATGGTTAGTGTCTCGGGATCATTTTTGAGCGAGCCTTTCCTATAGGCAATATTAGTAAAATATCTATCTGCAGGTGAAATTCAGAAAATTAGAATATTGTTCAAAAGTCCATTTACTTTTGTAGTTTAACTTACAATGTAAAACTAATGACAGACTCATGACATGCAACATCCAGCCTTTATGTGTTATAATGTTGATAATCAGCTGTAAGAACCTCAAATAAATTAGAATAATGATAAAATAGATTCTTATAGATTCTCATAATCACCCAAATTATAACAAACAAAGGAACTTTCCATGTTTTGATTCTTTATGATATATTGGTTTCACATTGTAAGTTGAATTGGAGAAATAAATTAAGTGTGAACTTCCGGGATTTTACCGGTAATTCACTGCAAAAGACAAAAATAATGCTTGATTTTAGAAAGTATTTTAGAAAGCAATTTGGCCATAATGCCAAAATGCAAGAACAATCTAAATCTGAATTTTCTTGAAATAAAACATAAACTTTGCCAAACTGACAGATTTCTTAAAACAACTTAACTTGATTTATTTTTAAAGTCTTATTTCCCCGATTCCGGAGTCTGCTGGAGTTGTTTATAATATTAGCTTGATGGTATAGGTACTTCACTAAAATCAAATCTAATTCCTAATTTGAGAAAAAATAAACTTATTGTTGGTAATTTTTTGCAGTGTACACAGGGAGGTTGGTCAGGGAGTACTCGAAACGGTCCATCTGAATACTGCCCCAAAATCCCATTACAGCATTAGTTTCCACCAAAATGGAGCAACATTTTAATAATAAAAAGCTAATGTTATGTGTGTTTTGATGCCAGAAAACGGTGCTACTTAAAAGGCACCGGCTAAAGATAGAAAGTCCTCTTGAGTCTTTGGTGTGTTTCCAGGCACACTCGCACGGCCTTTCCTCTCCTGCTGCGGATCTGCTGATGAATGACCCGCAGCGATCATATCCTATTCTGGTGCTGTGTAGCAGAATAATGTTTATTCAAACTAGGAGGAGGGCAACACAAGCGGCAGAACACTCCCCGAATCATTGTGTCTTTGTCGTGTTCTACAGGCAAATATATCTGTACGCTTCGTGTATTCAAAGAAACCATCTCCATTTGACTGAGATTTAAAATGTGATACAAAAAAAACACTTTTCTAGTGTTCTGGAGCTACAGCGGCACCATGATATCGACAAAATCAACTTTGAATATAAGACTACAACAACAAGCAAGATTAGCATCAATAAAGTTCTACAATACAGTAAACTCCTTTAACTTTTTAATTCTTAACTGTAAGTCAAAAAATACAAATTTCATATTTTTAATCTTGATCGCGTTTTAAAAAAAAACATGGGCCGGTGCCCATAGTCAGGACTAAACATGTGGGGAAGAGTCATCTTGAAAATGTGAGACAGGCTTCTATTCTAACAAAATCCAGGTTTAAAACAGTTCTGTTTATCTGTGCGTCCAACTGAGGGATTGTATCTTCACTCCTATTAATGTACTGTGATTAGATGTGATTTATTTGCCTTGTATTGTTTTTTCTAGTTTTGTTCCGCATTTTGAGTTGCTTTGTGCATGAAATGTGCTATAGAAATAAACTTGCATCGCCTTGCCTAACTGTTAGTGGCATTTTATTTTCACAAACTAATTTTCTTTTACAAAATAAAATGTTCTGTTTGCTTGAGTAAAAAAGAAGATTTTCCACCTGTGAAAAGTTATGTGTTTTTTTGTGCTGCTGCATCTGATTCAGCAAAGACATTTCCCCATATAGTGAGGTGAATAACATTTCACTAACTTTACTTTACTATAACTGTTGTATCCACAGAAATAAACCCAAGGAAAAAGAAAAAGTTTAAATGACTAAATGATGAATTGATCAAGTGGCTTTCTCATTTTAGTAACAGTGCTGAGCTGGCTAAACAAACTGCCTCCAAATGGAGGTTTGACGTGACGTAGAATATTTGTTCTTGGTGCCAGCTGAGCAATATTGTTCTAATGCCATTCATCATTGTAATCCTCTGGTCTTTAGTCCAGATGTGCTTGGACATGCATTCGTTTGGGAAGGCATTCTAAATATCGAATACAATATTAAACCCTGCACAGACAGGTTTTTGCACTAACACAACAACACACACCTGAGAAAGTAACACAACTATACATTTACTTCTGTTGGTGATAGATCCTGTTTAAACCATGGACGAAGAGTCATTTTTAAAACACATAACCGAACATGGGACGGTCTGGGCTCTCATACATCATGCATTCATGTGATCACATACGGACAAACTGGTAACACTACGATACAATAAAAATGTGAAGTTAAAAACAGAGTCACAAAGAGAGATTAACAATTATGGTGCATTTATCCGCACACAATGGTGGGGAGCCAATTATTGTGGCCATAGCTGCCGTCAGAGTGATGGAACTTTACCACCACCAGCCACTTACTCACTCAACACATTCGTCCAATTGTACATGCTTTTGTTGTCGGGGAAACCGCACAACCCAGGAATTGAACCCAGGACCTCTGTGTGCTTTGGCCCTGTGTCGCTACTAATACTACTACTAATATCACTACTAGTATCACTACTAATATCACTACTAGTACTGCAGTTACCTCCAGACCTTTTCATGTGGAGTTTGCATGATCTCCCTGTGTATGCGTAGGTTTCCTCCAGGTGCTCCGGTTTCCCACTTCTACCACTAAAAACATCTACAATAGTTCTGGTCCTGTATGATGACCTCGCCCCCATAAAGCGCTTTGTGACTCTGGTCTGTGAAAGGTGCGATATAAATAAAGATAAATTACTTAGTTACTTTTGTACAGTTACCAGTACTGCTACAGTTACTGTACTCATAGTACTAAAGTTGCTGCTAATACTACTACACTAATATTTATTTGAAAAGGCTGTGCCAAACATTTCTTGAAGTTCTTCTTTCCTGATTCTCCTCTCTCCCTCTCTTCCCCATCTTCCTCCTCCCGCTCCTCGTTTTCCTCCTCCCCCTCCTCGTCTTCCTCCTCCCCCTCCTCGTCTTCTTCCTCCAGCTCCTCGTCTTCCTCCTTCCCTTCCTCGTCTTCCTCCTCCCCCTCCTCATCTTCCTCCTCCCTCCTTGTCTTCCACCTCCCCTTCCTTGTCTTCCTCCTTCTCCTCCTCGTCTTCCTCCTCCCCCTCCTTATCTTCCTCCTCCCCGCCCTCATCTTCCTCTTCCCGCTCCTCCCCTTCCTTGTCTTACTCCTTCCCTTCCTTGTCTTCCTCCTCCCGCTCCTCATCTTCCTCCTTCCCCCCCTCCTTCTTCTCCTCCTCCTCTCCCTCCTCCTCCTACTCCACCTCCTCATCTTCCCCCTTTTGCTCTTACTTGACTTTGCTGAAGACGATGTCGACGTCGGTCAGGGTGATGTTCTTCCCGTCGATCACTCCGCAGTCCTTGCACAGTTTGGACCAGTTCTTTCCGTGCAGGTCTTTCCCGGTGGCGCGAGTGTCTCCGTGGATGGCAAAGCGGCGGAAGGCCTCCTCCAGAGCGGTGATCTCCACGGGGGTAGAGGAGCCCACGCCGCCGTCACTGGTGCCGTTGGACTCGGTGGAGAGGCGCTTGGAGGTGCGGTCGCGGGACTGGTCGTTGTGGGGCCTCATGGGCACCGCGTTGATGTTCGGGTGTTTGGCTGTTTGGACCTTAAAGCCGTCTGTGTCTCTGTAGAAAAACATTATAATATTGAAGCAAAGACACACGTGGCCGTTATGTTAGAGATACATAGTTTTGACCAGTCTTTCTCAATGTGAGGCCTGTTACATCAAGGTTTTCATCGTTTTCTTTGTGGAACTTTTTTTTGTACGTTTTGTAGGTATTATGAGTGCTTTTATCACTCTGCCAAGACTAACCAAGGGAGTTGTGATTACATGTGTGTCTGTAGGCAGGATTGCGTGAAAAATAAACAAATAAATTGGGACGTTCTATGGATTTGTAAGGGTATCTAAAAATGTAATTTTAATATGAGTTAGACTTCCTCAAAAGTAGGGAAGGCTTGTTATTTCAGACTGATTGACCAAATACTGTACTATTCCCAGTATTAATTGCCTTTTGGGTACAAAAAAAATATAATGTGGTTCATTTAGTTATTAGTTATTATTAAAAATGGCATGGTATGGATGCCCAAATTAACATCTTATTTTTATTAGTTAATCAATCATCATATATGCCCCCTAAGTGCCTTTAATTGAATGGTCATAACTAGTTGTACAAAGAGAAAAATAGCAATACTAATTTGTAGTGTTTTTGAGGTAAGTCTTGTAAAAAAAAAAAAATAGAGTAATAGATTTTTTGGGGAATATTTTTTAGGGCTTACTGTATTACTCCTTCTACTATACATGGTAAATACAGAGACACCTCTAGGCATTCAACCCAACTAGGCAAGTTCATTTCAACTCAACTTGATTCCTCATGACCTAATTTGAACCCAGCGTATAACCACAATGAGTTAAAATAAAGTTAACAGTCTCTAAACCACATCCGATCGACAGCGTACATCAGCATGCTTTGATGATCAGCTCAAGACACAGCTTGTGCTCCTATCTTTCTGCCCGACAAGATAAATGTCATTTGCAGCCTATAAACAAACAACATCTTTTTAAAAAGTGAAAGCCTTGTTGTGGAAGTGCTCTTCAGACTTACTTGTGGTCTGCCATGCCTGTGCAGAAACCCGTGTCCCTTTGTGCAGTGCTCAGTGAGGAGGACTTTTGTTTTCTCTTTGTGCTGTGGAAAATATGAGACCAAAAGGTGAAGGCGTGAGAGGATGTGTCCATACATAACAGTAATGTAAAGGGGAGGGGTTAGACAAGGAAACACCAGAATCATGCACCAATGACAGCTGATCTACAGGCACACAGAAGTATAAACTTGTGGTCGGTTTGTCATAAGAACATGGATATCAATTGGTCTGATTTGCCTCTATGTGTTCAGTTGTGTAATCTCTACAATGGAGCAAAGCCAATTTATAAGACGGTCGTTGCACTTGGGGAATTTGGTCTTGATCGCTGCATTATTGTCTCTGTTTTTTTTTTAATTACGGTGAATGGCCCGTAGCCTATTGCATCGCTGCACTCTCTTTTGCTCTTTATGCTACATTTCTTGTTTATTTTGTAAATATTTCTGTATGTGGTGGTGATGATCCAGGACACTCGACATTCAACAATTTTATGGACTTTACCAACATTTGTGGACATTGGTATTCTCCCTCTTATGGATCAATGGCTCTATGTATTTATTTTTTCTTTTCTTGAGTTTGAACATTTTGATTCTCTGACCTGTGTTGGCAAATTTGACGGTTTTCTAAAGTCCTTCAAGATAACTACTGTTGTGATTTAGTAAGTAAGTAAGTAAGTAATGTTTATTTATATAGCGCATTTTACGGACCAAAGTCACCCAAAGCGCTTTACAATGTTCAACAATTTAGGGCTATACAAGAATAAATTGACTGGAATCGAATTATATATCACTGTGTGAAGTATCAGGACGGTGGAGGGAAGAGAATACACCCTGTTTTTTCTACTTTTTATCTCTGTATATTTTGTGTGCTCTTACTACAGTCCCATTATGTGCACTATCACCACATTTTCCCGCTATGGGACGGTTCTCTTATTTTCTTGAAGCTGATTTTCCAACTGTATATTGAAAACCAGCGATGGTGCTCACAAACTCTTGCCTGGTCTCTGTCACAGCTTTACAACAGCTGTTTTATAGACAGAAACGTCAAGTCAAGCGATAACCACAATCAGCTCTCAGCCCAAAGAGTCGTAGAGTGAAGCAAATGGTTCTTTCTTACAAGTTTGAGATTGTTGAAGCCGGGGTATCGAACAATGTAACTAGTACCCATGGCTCTTTACATGCATGTATTTGGCCTTGCTTACATCTATGCAAATGTTGAAGTCCAATTTTTTCACAAAATGTCACTTATACTAAACTCTTTCTATTGAAGTTAACAGCCTGTATTATTTATGAAACAAAAGGTTATACCCAATCTTTAAAATGGGTTCTGTACTGTATCTGTAGATGCAAGACAGCGTCTAGTCTAGTGGCCTGGTGTTTTTCACAAAGTTCAGCTAGAATATTGTGTGGGATTAAAAAATATACCATTTATTACTGTATGCAATTTTTCTGTTTTTTTTTTGGGTCTGCCCAGTGTTGCACTTTTGTCTGGAATGTTCTATAGTATGACTTTCAATCTAAATTTGAGACCCAGTTTTCCAAAGGCACAGTTACAGGTCTTATCTGTAGATGGAAGAAACACCTGTTATTATATATTTTGATGTAACACTTTTAAAGCTGGGGTGCCTAACTTCTTTTTATCTTACATAAAGATTTTTGACCCAACAAAAAGAGGCTTGTAATTGTACAATATAGTGAACAAATCAGGCCACAACATGCTTATCCTTATCTTAATAAAATACACATTATATTTTGCATACTTAGAAAGAAGCACTATTTGACACTTTGGGCTGAGAGCTGATTGGCTGAGTGAGGGTGGTCCTCTCTTTTTCACTGTTCTGTCTGAAAAAGTTGCTCTAAAGATGTGACAGAGGTCAAAAATACATTTGAGAGCAATTAAGGAACTGATGGATTTTTATTGTTTGTGTTTTGAAAGTAGGTAACCCCAGCTTTAACTTTCACCTCATACTGAAATACATCCCAAGCAAAGCAATAGCATCTCCATGGCAACAAGAACATACATGTGCAGTGCAGCTTCAGAAAGCAATAAACTATGTCTGAAAGCAACAAAAAAAAACACAAAAAGGCCAATAATAGTCCATTTATTCCTCACCTTCCAGCGGTTCCCATACTGATCTAAGCATCCTTTGTTAGCGGGCTTAATTCAAAAAGCATTAGAAATAAGCAGGAAACTAACCCCAGTGAAGATCCGTGTGTCTCACTATACGATCTGCTCCTGCCTGCGAAGTCTCAACTTTCAGCCGACCCCATAAAGTGACTTCACTCCCCCCAATGGTGCAAGTAAAGTGAAGTAAACTGGTTTTGTATTGTCCCTTAGCGCTGGATCACTCCACACACGCAGTCAATGGGTACCAAGGATCTCTAGCAATAGCACTGTATCTGCCTTTATTATGACAAAGTGTATTCTTATTGCTATTATAATGAATTGTATAATGGTATTCATGCTGGCTATAGAGCAGAGACTGGAGGGCTATTGTCTGAAGTGGGCTGGCTGTATGACCACTAGACACTTTTTTTTCAGCCCACATGCGGCAGGGACATCGCGGGCTACCACTCTGGTCTGGAGTCATATGTCATCGCACATTCAGGCCAAAACTAACAGGATCCAGAGTCATTCATTCATTCATAGTGACAAGGGTAAAATTAGTTCAAGCGTAATTAAAATGGGAATCTATTGTGTTGTATTATTGACAACGCCTGCCAAGATAAAACAAGGAAATATGAACAATAGAGAAGTATAAAAAATCCAATTCAAAGTCCGGAGTCAGGTTGGAGATGATGGATTTAATAGTCCAGGCAAAATAGCGTTTTGAGGTGAACCAATTGTGATCATCATCATCAATTCTATGAGGTGTCCAGAACAATATATTAAGACATCCTGCTTAGGCAAGAGTCGGAAAAGAAACTTGGAAAATAATAATATTGTTCAAAAGTGTGTTCATTTTACTGTAATTCAACTTAGAGTGTGAAACCAAATTGATTTAGACTGACATACAGATGTAATTAACTCAATACATATCTATAATGTATATGTATATTTAACATTCACAGGCATAAATCATGGCAGCAAAATCTTAATTTGGAATTTTTTGTCTTCATATGTATAAAACCTGTCATGCCTGCAGATCCTGGAATAGATGTGATTCTCTTTCAGTACAAAAACAATGTTGAAACAAATTTGCAAGTATATTTTCTCAAAATGTAATTCTCCTGGTCATTTTATTAAATATGAATTTGGACAAAATCCAAGAAGTATACATATTATCCAGCCGTAATCACAATGTCAAAAATAATAATTCAGGCCTATTATAAATAAGATTACACTTGTATATGAATGGCATGGAATCAAATATGAAATAAAAGTTCTCTACACTCAATTAGTTCCATTGCATGATAGCTCTCTTCTCATCTCTAAATGGCATCAGTCCAGTCTAACATCTCCTTGGAGACATTTCTAACATTTTTGCTCTTTGGAAAAGCACCAAAGTCCTCTCAGAACGTTATTATTTGTGTTGTTGTGTTGTTGTTTGTGTAATTTGTGCCTTTTATGCTGTAACTATGCCAACAGTCAATCTCTGAACCTCTGTGTAATTATGTGGGAATGACGCATCCTCCAACCTGTGCGTGCTTACGTTTGGTTGCACAGAGATATCTTTATAGACTTTAACGCTAAAGGATCTGAATTGGTCCATTACAAACCCAATGAAAGTCCGAGAGAGCTGCAATTATTAATCAATATAGTTAATAATAATTATAATAGTTTTTTTTTATTTGTTCCCTTAATCTAGTAATTGCAGTACACACACAAGGCACGAACAGACAAGTGAAGTACAAGGCCCAGGAATAAGCAGCAACAACGGAGCTATAGTACAAAAGTACAAAGTGAAATGTGTGGCGTTTCCGTGTGTAGGTGTAATTGTGTGTCTATTGTGTGCTTACTACTTGACAATTGACCCCAGAGCATTATACAAATTGAAAGAGGAAGGAAAGAGATAAGTTATAATAGAATTTCCAACTTGAAAAAATGAACTAACTCAAGTAATTGACACTATACCGCCACCACCTATAAGTGACTTATTTGATTGTTCCTGCTAAAACTCCAGTACAATAATAATAATATTATAGTAATAGTATTTTTTTAAAACACCAAATTTACTGTGGCAAATAGTGACCCAGGGTTCCTTCATAGCTCAGTTAAGTTGTCCACATTTCTAAGTTAATGCATAAATAACCTTAATGTTTTGGTTTTGTTGAATTCAAACTTATCTAAAGGTTAAAGGAAGCTATTATTAGGCTCTTCTATGACAGTTTTAGATTGTGCGCATTAGGCAGATGTGCTTTCATAATAACAGAGCAAACTTCAAAATGGTCTTTCTTCACATCCCACTAAGCTGACTCCCACTACTTGGATGCAGTTGTGAGTTTGAGTTTCTCTGCCTAATATTAGAACAGCAACAACACTACTAACAAAAGAGGCTATAAGTAGCTCTATAGATTGTGGTTATAAACATATATTTCCTGTTTTTTTTTTTTTTTTTTACTGAATGTGCTAGAAGTTGAGGGTTTTCCTTTGTGCTGCACTGACAGTAACCAAATCTGTAGACAACAAAGAAAGCTCTTCTGTCTCTTTCATTTGTTCTCAAGCGGCTCATTCATCAGTACGAGCCTCTACATAAGAGGCCATTAACATTGCACTAATGTGACTGACCTCATCTCCACGTGTGCAGTCAGCGTTTACAAAAACTTACTTTTAGGATTCTTAAAGTTATATTTAAGCATAGAAGTATTGAAGTTACGATGAGATGCACAGATATAATCACAACACATAGAAATGCTGTGACCGATCATAGTTTGAACTTAATAAAGTGGCTTTGGAGCAAACAAAGCTGCTCCCACGGACACTGAGGTGGGCTCTATGTGCGCAACACACAATAACGTATGTATTATATGTAAATATGTT